TTGAAAATGTCTGGAGAAAACTGGGGAAATTCCCATAGCAAAACTGCATCAGCCGGGTATGGCTCAGGGGGCCATCCTCGAGTCACCAAAGCCAGGGGTTACGGGTGCGGAGACCTAGCCCTAGAGCAAGAATTGTGACACACTCAACATTATGTCTGCCCCCGGGAAGGGGGTAGTAACTGTGGAGGAGAGGGCAACTTCTATTGTGCCTCTTGGGGTTGTGAGACCCTAGCCCCATGGAAAAACCCTCCCACCGACAAGCTCCTCCATCTGAACAGAGAGGTTCGACCTGGGGCCCCGAAGAAGAACTGCACGATTGGAAACTGTAACCCCGTCCTCCTCGCCTCTCGCCTGGTGGACTGACCAATGGGAAGGGGGAAAGACGTGAGGACTAAGACTCTATGTCAGTGGCCGAGACCCTGGCCAGCTCTTCACCATTCAACGCCGGACTCTTCCCCGGCGGTTCAACCCGATTGGCCCCTTGCGTCCCCTAGACAAGCCAGAGAGGCCGAGCCAGCCACAGCACCCAGCCCCAGCCAAACCTCCTGGTTCCCCTGGGTCACAAAGCTCTGGGAGCCCCAGCCCTACTCCACCTGCAGCCACGACCTCGCCAGCCCTTGGGGACCTACAACAGCTTTTGGATACAGGCGCAGGAAAACCAAACCGGAAGCTGCTGGGAACCCTAGACTTAATGTTTTCTTTCCTAAATCGCACCTCCCCAAACCTGACCGCGGATTGCTGGCTGTGCCTCAACCCTGAACCCCCTCATTATGTTGGGATAGGGGCAGGGGCCCAGCTCAGGAAGGACGTGTCTGCCATCAGGAACCTTTCGGCAGAGAGTCTGCCAGACGGACTGTGTATGTGGGCACACAAACACCAAGGACTTACTCTTGGGGACATCTTAAACCCCGGGACTTGTGTGCACCCTATGAACTACCCCCTGAGCAGTTCCACCTATACAGATCTATGTAATTCATCTATCATACTTCCAAAGAATTATACAGGAGAGACCCCCACCTACTTAGGAGCTCCGAAGGGGACTTGGTGGGCATGTACAACTGGTATAACCCCTTGCATCTTCTCTCCAGTCCTCCAGAATCCGATGGACCCTGGACTATGCATTCTAACTCATATCCTCCCACAGGTATATTACTATTCGGGAGTAGGGGGCCGAGAACATTTAAACCTCGAACCCAGAAGGATTAAAAGGGCCCCCATCCTAGTCCCCCTCCTTATGGGAATAGGACTAGCAGGGTCCACGGCCGTCAGCACAGCCCCCCTAGCCACCTGCCACC